GCACAAAACAGGCAGTTAAATTGAGTATAAGATGTATGGCAGTTATATGACCCATGGTAGAACAGGAAAGACTAACCAAGACAGTTTTAGCGGTTCAGCAATCTAGGGTAGATTAGACGGAACAAGACTGTGTGATAGTTCTACGCTCCAGGAAGACTGTGTGATAGTTCTACGCTCAAGGAAGACTGTGTGATAGTTCTACTCTCCAGGCTCTGTTCTTTTTACTAATGTGCCATTTCTGTAGTGATAGATTTGGACAAAGCATTTCATTTTCTGAGATCTGATACTTTTTAAGAGCCAGTTGTCTTAAATGTAGAATGTCACATATTATTTCTGTTCTTGAACCAAGTTTTTTTCTTAAGAATACAGGACTAGACATTATATTCTTTATGTGTAACTTATATATGTACTTACAGGCCACTGCTATTTGTTGGATCCACAGGTACTCATGGGTCCCTTGTGTGTAACTTTATGTATAGGCCACTGTTATTTGTTGGATTCATTGATCCCCATAGATCCTTTATATGTAACTTTACTTACAGGTCACTGTTATTTGTTGGATCCACTGATCCCCATAGATCCTTTATATGTAACTTTACTTATAGGCAATTGTTATTTGTTGGATCCACCGGTACCCATAGATCCTTTATATGTAACTTTACTTATAGGCCACTGTTGTTTGTTGGATCCACCAGTACCCATGGATCCTTTATATGTAACTTTACTTATAGGCCACTGTTGTTTGTTGGATCCACCGGTACCCATGGATCCTTTATATGTAACTTTACTTACAGGCCACTGCTATTGGTTGGATCCACATACCCATAGATTCTTTATATGTAACTTTACTTGCAGGCCACTGCTATTGGTTGGATTCACCGGTACTAACCATGGATTCTTTATATGTAACTTTACTTGCAGGCCACTGTTATTTGTTGGATCCACCAGTACCCATGGATCCTTATAGGTCACTGTTGTTTGTTGGATCCACAGGAATCCATGGATCCTTATAGGCCACTGTTGTTTGTTGGATCCACAGGTATCCATGGATCCCTATAGGCCACTGTTTGTTGGATCCACAGGTATCCATGAATCCTTATAGGCCACTGTTGTTTGTTAGATCCACCGATACCCATGGATTCTTTATATGTAACTTTACTTACAGGCCACTGTTGTTTGTTGGACCCACGGGAACCGGGAAAAGTGCCTATGTGTCCAAGAAGATGATGCATGATCTCCCGCAAGAGAAATACATCGCTTCCATCATCACATTCTCAGCCCAGAGCAGTGCTAATCAGACTCAGGTGAGTATGTGGAATGGTTCACAGAGAAGGGTTGTTTCTACCTGCGGACAACTAACTATAGGAAGTATGTTTATTTGTGGATATGCATTTTATTATAGTAGCTCCCCATTTTCTAACATTATGTGTTGCATGAAGACAGTTTAGCTGAAATGTTTGTTTACATTATGTGTTGCACAAGGACAGTTTGGCTGAAATGTTTGTTCACATTATGTGTTGCACAAGGACAGTTTGGCTGAAATGTTTGTTTACATTATGTGTTGCATGAAGACAGTTTAGCTGAAATGTTTGTTTACATTATGTGTTGCACAAGGACAGTTTGGCTGAAATGTTTGTTCACATTATGTGTTGCACAAGGACAGTTTAGCTGAAATGTTTGTTTACATTATGTGTTGCACAAGGACAGTTTGGCTGAAATGTTTGTTCACATTATGTGTTGCACAAGGACAGTTTGGCTGAAATGTTTGTTTACATTATGTGTTGCATGAAGACAGTTTAGCTGAAATGTTTGTTTACATTATGTGTTGCACAAGGACAGTTTGGCTGAAATGTTTGTTCACATTATGTGTTGCACAAGGACAGTTTGGCTGAAATGTTTGTTTACATTATGTGTTGCATGAAGACAGTTTAGCTGAAATGTTTGTTTACATTATGTGTTGCACAAGGACAGTTTGGCTGAAATGTTTGTTCACATTATGTGTTGCACAAGGACAGTTTGGCTGAAATGTTTGTTTACATATATGTGTTGCATGAAGACAGTTTAGCTGAAATGTTTGTTTACATTATGTGTTGCACAAGGACAGTTTGGCTGAAATGTTTGTTCACATTATGTGTTGCACAAGGACAGTTTGGCTGAAATGTTTGTTTACATTATGTGTTGCATGAAGACAGTTTAGCTGAAATGTTTGTTCACATTATGTGTTGCACAAGGACAGTTTGGCTGAAATGTTTGTTCACATTATGTGTTGCACAAGGACAGTTTGGCTGAAATGTTTGTTTACATTATATGTTGCACAAGGACAGTTTGGCTGAAATGTTTGTTTACATTATGTGTTGCACAAGGACAGTTTGGCTGACATCTTTGTTTACATTATGTGTTGCATGAGGACAGTTTAGCTGAAATGTTTGATTACATTATGTGTTACATGAGGACAGTTTAGCTGAGATTTTTTACACCTTTTTTATCATCATCATTGTGCCGTGCCAGTAAGTGTAGGCTGTCATGTTTCGCCATCTCAGACAGTCAAGAAATATTATATTAAAAAATTATATAAACAGGTTATTTAGACCCAAAAAAATTATAATTCAAAACATTTTTTTTTGAATAGTGAATTTAAATAAAACAGACACAAACAATACAATACACAAACTAGTGCCTGCCATATTTGTCTGTATGTCATTGGGTGCATTACTAAAGACGTTCATCAGCATATAAAGAAAACAATCTGAATTCTTTCCAGTGAAGTACACAAATCACATTGTCTCTCTTGATACATTGTTCATCTTATCACCAGAAGTTCAAGATGGTTTACCAGACTACCAGTCTCCCTTTGTGCAAACAGAAAGAATGTGTGGTAAATTTAAAGTTTAGCATTTTTTGTGTACAATTGTGCAGGAAATTATCATGTCCAAGCTGGACAGACGCAAGAAAGGTGTGTTCGGGCCTCGTGTTGGTAAGACATGTATCATCTTTATTGATGACATGAGCATGCCTCAGAAAGAAGTGTATGGTGCTCAGCCACCGATCGAGCTTTTGAGACAGTTCATTGATCATGGGCATTGGTAAATATAAACTTTTGTTAGTTGTCATGTTTTGTTTTAATTGTTTGCTTTAATTATCACATTTACATCTGTGGTTTAGATGTTATAAATTAAGTTTAATGATTGCTAGGATTTCAGCTGCAGCCAAATTGACAACAAACCACTGTGCATTAATTTTCTCAATATTAGCATCAGCAGCACATTGTTCAGAAGGCGAGGAAAACTACTGAACTTACAGTTGCCAAGTAAAACCACAAACAGTCGGTGAATTCTGGGATTGCTTTGTTCGTCCTAAAGAATGAATGCAACTGACACAGGTATCAGGATGTCAGTTTTTTTAATGAGCTGCTGTTGTGTGCATCGTTTACAAATTTACTTTCTCATCTCTGTCGTTTATTAATAACATTTTGTCTTTTCCTGGGGTATTTATTTACCATGGATCGTTGTCTACTGACAGACATCATAAATTGTCTAGCTTTTTTGATGAAATCTATCACAGTTACACCTGTCAGAGTAAAGCTGAAGTAGACTCCTCCAGTGCCAAAATATTATCTCTGTAGAGACTGTGCTGCAATGCTCGCCCTACCTTCTTTCTCCAAACTTGGGAACTGCTACTAGAGTTTCATGTCAATAGAACGGCATGGTGATCCTTTGAGCATGAACAACTCTGGAAAGAGACTTCAAAATGAGGAAATCCTTGCTGGTCCATCTGCATCACAGCAGGGAGGCTATTGAAAGGAGGAGGAGGAGTGACTTTGAGGTACAATAATGCGCTTCTGACTCAGTAAGACCTGGTTGAATTCACAGTTTGGTTAGTATGCATTTTTATGAAACAAGAAAAGGAGGGCATGTTACAAAGTTGTATCTCAATGCTCCCCAAGTTTTAAGCATGCCTAACGGACAAGTGATCAGATTGTGTTTTTGTGTTTATCAACACAGCCAGTGATCCAACAAATCAATTGAAAATAGGTTTGTTTTTTAAGCAATATAATGTCAATTCATGCAGGACGAAAATGTTTCATTCAAACAAAAGTTTGAACGCTTCAGTATATTGTTGCTGGCTATTCATATATGGCGATAAGTTCATTTAAAACAATGATGATTCATATTCTTCAATATAAATTGCTATGACGTCTAAGTTATTCACTATTATTAATCATCGTTGATAAAGTCTCTTCTTAAAGTACTATCGAAATATCTTTTTGTCTTAACCAACTTTCTTCTCGGCCATATAGTCAACTCTCTCTTCCAAGTTTCAGCCTTTGTCCACGCCACTCGGCTACAATGCCTCAGACATGACTCCTTGAGAGCTGACACTCCTTCTCTTCCTTTTGTCCTTTTCCAGCCCTCTTTTATCTCTCTCGTCAGTTATCTTGCTTGGTGGCCTGGACTCACCGCCTTGAGTACCCGTGACAGGTGTTATCCTCCTGATGTATGGTTGTGTCTGCACTTCTGAAAGCTTGTCATCCTCTCATCTTGCCTGCTTGTCTAGCTGAAAGATTTATACTTTCTTAATTGCAACACCTGTTCTTAGAACTTTGGTTGTCATGTTTAAAGCACCTGTCTTTCTATAATTGACAATTAGTGTTGCCCTGCTTATCTCAGTGCGGCCTGAAGTCTCCTATCTCCTGCTTCCGTGTGAGAGTTGCTTTGGTTTGTTAGCACTTATGGTACCCGTTAACCTGTGACAGCTCCCCTGTGTTACAGGTATACTCCCACGGGTCCTGGGTAGCAGATCAACATCTAATTTCCTCGTACACTTTAGAAACAAAACTGCAGGCTTCATGCGAATGTTACACACATTGAAAATCCTTCAGTACATGGCAATTGACAAGAGCCAGTAATGTAGAATTTTTTTTTTTTAAAGAAATAAATCTCTAAATTGTCTTGGTTAGAAGTTCAATGTGTGGTACTTGAAAAATGTGACCTTTGACACAGGTATGACCTGAAGGACACCAGTAAGATAACCCTGGTAGATCTACAGTTTATGGCAGCCATGGGACCACCAGGTGGAGCCAGAAGTTCTGTGACACTACGTTTTACTCGTCACTTCTCTGTTGTTTCCATGAATCCATTCAGTGACGAGACATTGCTGAAGATATTTAACACTATTGTTGCCACATATATGAAGGTAGGTGTTCACAAGAATTCTGAAATACATCATGTTAATGACAATAAAATATTGTATTAAAACTAGAAAGAAAGAAGACATACATTTTTGGACACCCCAGGTCATAATGTTTACAAATGCTGAGTTTGTTATTGAACACGTTGGGCTAGAGCAAGGAGCCATGATAGTGTAGTGTCTAGAGGCTCTCCTAATGGCCTGGTCTTTCATGTGAATATACCTCAGTCCACATGTGTGTTTTGTCTCAATAATGTTGCCTTGGACTCCCAGGTTGACCCGGCCTACAATGGGTAGCAGATAATGTCCTGAAAAGTTCAGGTGGCCAGCATGATGTTAACGGCATCAGTGAGTGCCGACTGGTTCACCCAGCCTCTAGGTAATGGGTACCAGAGTTAACACTCTGGGGTAAATGGAGGAACGTTGCTGTAGCTACAGAGGTGCATGCGGACGCCGACACAGGCGGAAAGTTTCTTATCAGCTGTCCATACTGGTGGCAGAGCACTTATGTTTTATAACCGCGTGCAGTGACGCTGATTCACATGCCCCAACTCTACCTTTACCTTTTTTTACAACGTAATGTTTGGTCTGCCTCACAACCTAATGTGTATGGCCTGCCTCACGACCTAATGTGTGTGGCCTGCCTTACAACCTAATGTGTGTGGCCTGCCTCATGACCTAATGTGTGTGGCCTGCCTTACAACCTAATGTGTGTGGCCTGCCTCATGACCTAATGTGTGTGGCCTACCTCACAACCTAATGTGTGTGGCCTGCCTTACAACCTAATGTGTGTGGCCTGCCTTACAACCTAATGTGTGTGACCTGCCTCACGACCTAATGTGTGTGGCCTACCTCACAACCTAATGTGTATGGCCTGCCTCACGACCTAATGTGTGTGGCCTGCCTTACAACGTAATGTGTGTGGCCTGCCTCACAACCTAATGTGTGTGGCCTGCCTCACGACCTAATGTGTGCGGGCCCTGCCTCAAAACCTAATGTATGTGGCCTGCCTCACAACTTAATGTGTGTGGCCTGCCTCACAACCTAATGTGTGCGGGGCCTGCCTCACAACCTCATGTATATGGCCTGCCTCAAAACCTAATGTATATGGCCTGCCTCACAACATAATGTTAGGTCTGCCTCACAACCTCATGTGTGTGGCCTGTCTCACAACCTAAAGTGTGTGGCCTGCCTCACAACATAATGTTAGGTCTGCCTCACAACCTAATGTGTGTGACCTTTCTCACAACCTCATGTGTGTGGCCTGCCTCACAACCTAATGTATGTGTATGTTTATTGGTCAAACTGATTTCAGATGGAAGAATACAACATGGAGTACATGGGCCTGGGTCTCAGTTTTGTGCTGGGCACCATGGAAGTCTATAAAGGAGCCATGGCTAACCTACTGCCCACTCCCAACAAGTCACATTACGTCTTTAACCTCAGGGACTTCTCCCGTGTCATTTTGGGAGTATGTTTGATCAAACGCAATGATGTCATTGATAAAACAACATTTATACGGTAAAATATGTTTCAGACAAATTACCATATCTGTGAACATTATGTTATTGCGCCTGTTTTCAGCAGCTTGGAGTGCGTGTTATTTATTGTGTGTGGCATAGACATTGCAAATGCATTGTGTAATTTCAAAATACCTGGTTTCATTCCAGCTGCAGGTGACTTGGCAGCAGACCGTCTTCCGTCGATTTTGACAGTGGTTTGGAGCGTCGACTGTTCATGGCGATAAAATACTAAATAAATTACCTACTAAAACTAAAAAGCCAGCAATTGCTGAGGTTGGCTCTGCAATGTCCTGTCTAGGATTTGCAACTTTCTTTTCAGTTTTCCATTGCTCTCTGAACAGTCAGCTTTCCAAAGCAATGTCGAGGTCAGTGCAAAGCAGTCTGCGGCCAGATTGCCTGCTTGAACTGGGTATGTTGACATTAGGAAGCAAATTCACGGCCTTAGAGCCACAGACACCGTTTCAAATAATTTATCATACACACACATATATCAAGAAACAGCAAAACAAAAAAATCAAGTCTGATGCAGTTTTCTGTAGGCAGCAGCTCTAAATTAGAAAGATGACGTTAAATGTTATTAACAACTGCTTCTTCTGTGTGTTGCACGCACACACGGACTTCAAGAACCAGAGGAGACACTCTAAACTAACATCTCTCTCTCACTCACTCACTCACTCACTCACTCTCACTCACTCACTCACTCACTCACTCACTCACTCACTCACTCACTCACTCACTCACCCACTCACTCACGCACACACAGACTTCAAGAACCAGAGGAGACACTCTAAACTAACATCTCTCTCTCAGTCACTCACTCACTCACTCACTCACTCACTCACTCACTCACTCACTCACTCACTCACTTACTCACTCTCTCACTCACTCACACACACATGGACTTCAAGAATTATAGGAGACACTCTAAACTAACATCTCTCTCTCAGTCACTCACTCACTCACTCACTCACTCACGCACTCACTCACTCACTCACTCACTCACTCACTCACTCACTCACTCACTCACTCACTCACCCACTCACTCACTCACTCACTCACTCTCTCACTCACTCACGCACACACGGACTTCAAGAATTATAGGAGACACTCTAAACTAACATCTCTCTCTCAGTCACCCACTCACTCACTCACTCTCTCACTCACTCACGCACTCGCTCACTCACTCACTCACGGTTTGAGGAATTCATGGAAGAAAAAAGTAAATCAAAAACCAAACATTTTACACAGATCACTCATAAATTGTTTTAAAATTTATGGAATTATATTTGTACATTTGTTGTTCTTGTAATTGAAATAAAGAAACAGGAGTAATTAAAAAAGTACAAATGTCATTAATAGTTAAAAATTTCTCTCTCTTGGGCCTAACAATAAGATTATGAGATGACTTGCGCTTGACCCAGTGACTTTGACATTATGCAACTACTGTCGAGGTAAATTATAATGTCAAAATGCTTTTAAAAGTCCATTTTCCACAAGAATCCATTCTCCCCCAAATGCCATTTTAAAAATTAAATACAGTTGTGTATGTTGCTTCCTAAACACTGCACAGGCACAAACAGAACCAGTGCTGTTACGACTTACGGAGAGTATTAGCAGAGGGTGATTGGGTTATAGAGACAATCTGGAGGAGCACAAGGGTTATGCTTCAGCTGTAATTGTTCTAGTGAATAAACTGTCAGTGATTGATTATTTTCAATTGTCTGTTTGTCAGACTGTGGGTGCATGAGGTATTCCGAGTTTTCTATGATCGGCTCACAGATGATGCTGATCGCACTTGGCTTTTCAGGTGAGATATTATTTGTAACTCTTGCCGCCTCAGAAACTGTTGTGGGGAAATTACTGTACAAATTTAGGAGTATGTTTCTTTAATAAGAAGAAGTGTGTTTTATATTGTTGAATGTTACTTTGTTTTAATTCCATGTTTTATATTGTTGAATGTTACTTTGTTTTAATTCCATGTTTCATATTACTGAATGTTACTTTGTCTTTTTCTATTCCATGATTTTAATGTTCAGGAAGATGGAGAAGGGCTGGATCCGAAGGCAGTGGTTGGTGGCTCTACAGATTTCATGGCTGACAAGAATTAGTTTTATTTTTGTGCCAGGACATGTGGGAGTACAAGGAAATGAGCAAGCTGATAGGCTTGCAGGTAAGGCTTCTGTGAAAGTCTGACAAGCCATGGACCAGGCTGATATACTGAATGCTCTAAGAGAGTTAAGACATTTGCGTGAACCAACTGAGAACTGTGAATCTGCAACCATGGTCAGACTGCAAGAACAACATGTTAAATGGGGTGTCACCTAACAAGAACACTATGCGGGTAGCCAAAGAAAAATAATAAACCAACACAGAACTGGTGTTGTTAGCTGCTACACTCTGTGAGATATGCTGAGGAGGGGATCCGAGCACTTATGGACTGAGTGGTGGACATACAATGAGGATAATGTGTCGACTAACTAACTAACTAACTTTCTATTCCATGTTTCATTTTGCTGAATGTTACTTTGTCTTTTTTTTTTTTTTCAGGTGTCAAATAGTTAAAAGTTAATTTATCTCTGTTGCTTCCACAGCATGGTTACCAAGTTTGTTGTCAACAATGTGAAGTTTAAACTAGATCAAGTGTTTGGTAAACTGACACAGCCAGAGGACAATGGCAGGGTAAGACCTGGACACATTTGCACGTCTTCTGTCCACACCTGCTGTTATTTTCACACTGGTAATACCGGTACATGTCTGGAAGTCCCAGCCTGTGTGTTACCAGGGCCATTCAGTGAAAGGAAAAGAATATTTGTCTGTTGAGATAAGAAAAGGAATTCTTAAAAGCCATATAAATCCTACCTTTTTTGATGTATGGGAGTGAATCATGGAAAGTTAGTATATCAGTGAAAATGTATCTGGAAGCTACAGAGATGTAGTTTTGTAGACCAATGATGATAAAACCCAGGACCAATAAAAATAGTATTGAAGACAACTTGAAAGAAACAGACTTATGAAGAGAACTGATTGCCCACATGAGAAAGAGACAATCTAAATTGTTTAGTCATGTGATGAGAAGCAGAAAACTGGATTACATCGTGACAGTAGGAAAGTTAGAGGGAAGGAGAGGCAGAGGGAAATGGAGAGAACAGATGCAGGACAGTTTGACATCTTGGCACGGAGAATCATCTGTGTCAGAGTTGATTGAAAGTGCAGGAAACAGATGGTTGTGGATAGACATGACTACCAATGCCACACTGCATGGACTTTACGACGATGAAGAAGAAGAACACTGGAATGTGTCTGGAAGTCCCAGCCTGTGTGTAACCAGGGCCATTAGGTGAAAGCAAAGAATATTAGCTCTCTTCCATGCATGTAATTTAAAGCGACTGGAGGCAGGGGTCATGAGACTGATGGCCTAACTCGAAAGAAAACTGTAGATAAAGCTCACTAAGGTTTGCAGTCTTTACTTTGACAAAGTTTACCAAGGTTTGCAGTCTCCACTATGATGAAGCTCACTAAGGTTTGCAGTCTTTACTTTGATAAAGTTCACCAAGGTTTGCAGTCTCCACTGTGATGAAGCTTGCCAAGGTTTGCAGTTTTCACTTTGACAAAGTTTACCAAGGTTTGCAGTCTCCACTGTGGTGAAGCTTGCCAAGGTTTGCAGTCTCCACTGTGATGAAACTCAGCAAGGTTTTGCAGTTTTCACTTTGACAAAGTTTACCAAGGTTTGCAGTCTCCACTGTGGTGAAGCTTGCCAAGGTTTGCAGTCTCCACTGTGATGAAAACTCAGCAAGGTTTTGCAGTTTTCACTTTGACAAAGTTTACCAAGGTTTGCAGTCTCCACTGTGGTGAAAACTTGCCCAGGTTTGCAGTCTCCACTGTGATGAAACTCAGCAAGGTTTTGCAGTTTTCACTTTGACAAAGTTTACCAAGGTTTGCAGTCTCCACTGTGGTGAAGCTTGCCAAGGTTTGCAGTCTCCACTGTGATGAAACTCAGCAAGGTTTTGCAGTTTTCACTTTGACAAAGTTTACCAAGGTTTGCAGTCTCCACTGTGGTGAAGCTTGCCAAGGTTTGCAGTTTTCACTTTGACAAAGTTTACCAAGGTTTGCAGTCTCCACTGTGATGAAACTCAGCAAGGTTTTGCAGTTTTCACTTTGACAAAGTTTTACCAAGGTTTGCAGTCTCCACTGTGATGAAGCTTGCCAAGGTTTGCAGTTTTCACTTTGACAAAGTTTACCAAGGTTTGCAGTCTCCACTGTGATGAAGCTTGCCAAGGTTTGTAGTTTTCACTGTGGTAATGCTTGCCAAATTGTTCAGCCTTTACTGTGGTGAAGCTTGCTAAGAAAGCCCCACACATGACACCAGTCAAGACTTATAATCACAGCAGATCCCTGTGATGAAAATGGTCACTCAGCACCCACACCCTGCCCTCATGCTGATGGGAGTTTATGTGTTGTTGCCTGGGAAAATATTGAACATAACATGGGCAGATTTCAAAAGAGGTAAGGGGATAAGAGAAATCTTTGGGCAGCCATTGAAACAGTTAAAATACAAAGAAGATGGCCCTATATTGGACACATCCTCAGAAGAAATGAGCAGAGAATCACCAAAGAAGCATACAAATGTGTAGTAAAGTGATTGAGGGAGCCAGGATATCCAAATGAAACCGTAAATGAAACATTGATGAGAAAGGCCAAAGTTGCTGGACTGAATTCCACCCATAATGTCAAAGGGATTGCACAGAATAGAATGAAATAGAGGAATCAAGTCCTATGTGGCATATAATGGCACAACAGAACAGGGATGATGATGATGATGATAGTTTCCTACAAGGATGGTAACAGTCGTCTTCACTGCCCATATTCTTAACGTCAGATATAATGGCTGAGTCTGCACAAAACTCCTCCCATCAAAAATGTTTCTTACTTGAAATTATACCTCGTTATCTTGAAAATTGTCAGATTGTTAGCTATGACTGCCGAGTGATTTAATATACACACAAATAATTTTACAATGCAGATAAAAGATTGTGGGTCGTTTGTCAAGAACACCTGTGTAATATTGGGAATTTAAGTAATGAGGACACAAAGGGTATAGTAACCAACCATCGTGCCTGACTACTTCCATCAATGACAAACTACATTTCTGGTGACGATTGTCGGCTTTGGCACCTCCAGCGTGCGCATATTTCTGGATTGTTCCAGGACTAGTTGTTTGTTCAGCAGTTTTTCAATTGCAACAACGAGGAACATTTCATTTGATCTGCACTGGCACAGGAACGGACAAACTGATGTTGAAACCTCGACTAAGACTAAGGGTAAATTGCACAATTTAGTACCCAGCATATTTTGCAGTATCTTGTCAGCAGCATTAACTTTTTTGCTTCAGAGAAGCCTCAAATTGACACCTCCGACTAGGTCCAGTTCTCAGAGAAAGCCATGTGACCAACCTTTCTGCACTTACTTGTTTACAAGATGCATAGTTAATTTTATTGGTTGTTTTTGCACCTGCGAAAGTTTGGGAGGTCAGGATATGAATATACTGGGTGTCCCCCAAAAATGTACTCACATGTTATCACGCTTGTACACATATATTTAGTTTTGATAAAGGTATTTATTGACATAATTATACAGGTGTAATAGGATAAATTAACAACAGATAATGATTTGTTGAGTATATTAGTCTTTTCCGCAAGTCGTCAACACGTTCCTGCATGTGGACATATGTTCAGATTGATTTCCACCATTTTCCAAACAGAGCTATGATAACAATGACCAATGGATGTCACACTGTCACTTAACATATCATTTGGAATTGCAAGATCTTGCCTTCGAATTTAATCTTTCAGCTCTTCAATTGTCGCTGGATTTTGGCGTAAACCTTATACCCATAAAGCCAAAAAGTGTGAGTGAGGGGTTGATAAAAGAGGTATAACATTTTTGGGGGGATGCCCTGTATTAACTGATAAATAGCATTTTAGAAGGTTTTTTTGGGGAGGGAGGGTTTCATGTGAACTAAAGCAGTTTTTTAGAAGCCAGGCCGACATGAAATGTTCACATAAATCTCAGGGACATATCTCACAGAGGGTCATACAAATGAGTCACCTGATACATGTCAATGGGCTTTAGCTCCTGGGGAATGTATTCCATTTAATTCTTTAATTTGTTTTTGTTTATTTATTTATGTTTATATATTTGGAACAAAAATTTAAAAAAAAACATAGGATAAAAAATGTTTTTATGTATTAGTATATACCTGTTGTTTTTCTTTTGTTATTTTCTTGGGAATTCCTACTTGGTTATGACTGTTTTTAGCTTTCCCGGGATAACAGGGTTTATACAAAGTTTATATCATGTATAATATAAAGTAAACACAAGAACGTGAGTGTGTCATAAAAGTGTATGTAATCTTTGATGTAGATCAAAGAGAGCACCTTAAACAACCTGATGTTTGGCGACTTCATGGACCCAGATCTTCCACCAGACATGAGAAACTATAAGGAAGTTGAGTCGATAGAGGCCTTCAACAACATTGCCCTCCTTTGTCTCGACGACTATAACCAGACAAATAAAACTCCAATGAACTTGGTGATATTCAGGCAAGTAGACTTCACTGCTTATTGTTGTGGCTTGCAAATGCTCTTCCTAATGCCAGGGTGCTGGGTTCCATCCCAGCTGAGGACAATTTGTCTTGCGTTGGTCTCGACAGTGGTACTGAGGGCTGATCATTCAGAAGCAGTGGCAAACTTAACATAAAATTTGCCTGGAAAAACCCTAGCACCTAAAAAAAAAATGCTGGGGTTGGTTCTGCAATGTCCTGTAAAGGGTAGGCAACTAACATTTCCTCTTGTACAGTTCTCTTCTAAGTTCCCATAAGTCTGCGACGTCTCATTTTTCCATCAGCTGTTCACTGGAGAGCAGTCCCGCCCAAATACTTTCTCATATTTATTGTTCACACAGTTTGCTGCAGACTGTATTGTTATCCACTATCTTTCCATCCCCGTCTTGGTCCCATACAACAGCACTGTCAGTCACACCTTCCCTAGCAAACAGATGAGACCCTCATCTCCAGGACCAGAAGGGTCTTCAGGATTCTTCTGCATGCCAGTTAATCCAAGTAAAGACTTAGTTTTAAGATCTGACTTCCACTGTTGTATTTCCTGTTTTGGTTCCAAGCAGTGCATGATATGTTTTATGTTTCCTGAACTGTTCTCCTGTAATCCTAGCCATCACACAGTGTCTTCTCCTGCTAATGTATGTTTGCTAGCAGTGTACTATAGAAGTCTGCCTGTCTTGGTAGTTGCTTGAAATTTATTTTTAGCCTCGTCAAATTCATTCAGTTTTTTTTTCTGTCTATGTCCTGTTTGAACATTTGCTGCAAACCCTTCTGTGGGTAAAAAAGTTAAAACAAAATTAAGTGTGCCAGGTTCAGCCTGTCATTTATGATTGTCTTATTGAAAATTTGACCATGTTAACTTTTTTTTTTAAAAACTTTTTCCCTTATGATTGTAACTGTTCTTTGATCTCAGATAACTGATTCCATATTGATTCTGCCATCTAGTATTGGATACTTTGGCCTTTTAATTTGACTGTATCATTCATTGTCCTCAGGGTATTATTCATACATCTGTAGTTGTCAGAAAAGGTCAGTAGCATTACAATATTTTAACCTTAAAAAAAAAGGGGATTTGTTTTATATCGTGGCTTTTCAGAACCTATCTTATTTGATTAATATTTTTTTAGACCAGTCAGCCCTCGATAGATGGTGAACTGACGTACGGCAAGCTAGATGTTGTGAGGGCCCTCTGGGAGCGAGTGAACAGTGCAAATAGGTCATTACGGTCTGAGGAGAATGGTGCTGCGAGGATTTGCCAGGGCATCTGGCCGAGGCTTAACACTCGAGGGAAGGGCAAGACAGATATATAGTCTGACAGTTACTGGTATCATCGGAATTGGAACTCTTCGTTTACTGCTAAAGATGGGGACGGAGCGCTTTTGGGAGTGTCCTGAGTGCTATAATGTTGATTCCTAATTCGACATTTAACATTGGGCCCTGCCTTAATTTCCAGAACTTACAGGAACCCATATTAGACTGGATTGACCTTCGAGCCGAGGTCATTTTATTTTGACATTACATTATTTTAATTTCAAATTGTGTTGCACAGTACTTTTAGAGTAATATAACCTGATTTTTTTTTCTTGCAGAGGATAAACTGATGAGTTTAAAATTTAACCTGATTTTGCTGTTGTTTGTAGATATGTGTTAGAGCACTTGTCTCGTATTTGCCGAATCTTACGCCAGCCAGGTGGCAACGGACTACTGATTGGGGTCGGAGGCAGCGGTCGACAATCCTTGACACGTTTGGCTTCCTTCATGGCAGGACACAAACTGTTTCAGCCAGAAATCTCTAAAAACTATGGTTTGACAGAATGGAGAGAAGATATTAAGGTTAGCTTTGTGTGTAAAGAAGCTGTGATGTCATTATAGTTTAGGCACATACTTATGAACTTGTGGTCCAGTTTTAATGTTTAGCAGAGCAGGACTTTATACCATTGTGATGACACCAACGTAAAAATGTTACTGTTCGATAAACTGTGCAGTCAGAAGTGATTCCAGGACAAGCCCAGCAAGCCATTAGTTTGTTCAAACACATATGCTCAAGATAAGTGGAGGAGAACCATCTCATCAAAGTAGCGACCCTCTGGTCACATGACTGACCTGAAATTTAAAATGGCCACACTAAACATCTGAGGTTAAGGACAGGAAACTACATATAAATCCTCTCAGGGACGCTTGACTGGGTAAGCAGTAGGACAAAAGAAGAAGAAGATGACACCAACAGGCAGGTCAGTGAGAAACTGTTGCTACTTGAAGGTGGTAAAGTTGAATTCTGGTGTTCACTTAGCTGTGTGTTTTTCTGTCTCTGTTACCTAACATGTCCCCTGATCATACATAAATACAACTGGTTATAGCTTTTTTACACATAAATAGACCTAATTGTGACTTATTCACACATCAATACAACTGACGTGACTTCAGTATAAATCAAAGAAATCATAAATTAATCATGCTTTAACACAACAATAATCACATATTAAACATACATAGACACACAAATTTATACATAAATAAAATATAGATCATAATCATAACTTAATGATACATTTGAAAATACATTTTCATGACTTTGTAAAACAAAAACGAACAAAATGACGCTTGTGGCGCCAGTGGTGTATCAGGCATACATGTGATGTTAGACCAGCTGGCCCTTGGTGGGCAAATGTGGTCAGCGTCACTGCAGCTGCCTTTACTTCCCAGAACATTACCTGGTATAAATTTTATACTGGAAACCAAAATCAGTATTGAAAATAAAAATTAAAAAAAAAAATAATAACTGTCTGTAGCATCGAACCTAAGACCTTCAGGCTGAAAGCTATCATCGAGCCACTTCACTAGCACAAATCCCAGTCAGGACTGAATCATAGATAAAAACAAAGTAGCGCACCACCACACTTCTAATGTCAGTGTCTCAATGTTTATTTTCAGTCTGTGTTGAAACAGGCAGGTGGTAAAGGAATCGCCACAACATTTCTGATTACCGACAGCCAGATCAAAAGCGAACGATTCCTCGAAGACATTGATGCTTTGCTCAACTCTGGAGAAGTGCCCAACCTCTTTGCTTCTGATGAAAAGGCAGAGATTATGGAGGTTTGTTCGATGTCAATGTAAACAAAGTTTGAGACAGTGCCATGACAGACAGTTCTTTAGTCTTCTTCACACTTGTTCGATAGGAGCCATAGTAAGAAAGCGGATAGAAGACATTCCTGCCAGCCTGATGTCGTGTGTTTAAATCCTCATCTAAGTAGATGTGTTAAAATGGCTTGGAATTCAGTGATGTATGAGCCCAAAAATAGGGCTGAGAGCTGTTATATAAACCCATGAAAGATTGCTCACTGTAGATTTTATTGTCATTTTCCAAGTGAGCTGCTGTTGTTAGTTACTGCAACTATTCTTTGTTTTCTCATTGAACCGTGGGACATGGTGGGAAAATGCTTGGCTGGTTTAATGAATTTTTTTAGTACTGGGCAAACATTAGTTTTACTCATATCATCCAAGAAATTTGTTACTTTAATGAGTAAGTGTCTGTAGAAGTCAAAAGCTAGAGGGTGATGTGGGCAACATCATGGCTGTATGTTTATAGAGCAGACTGCACTAGACGGGTGATGTATGCAACATCATGGCTGTATGTTTATAGAGCAGACAGCACTAGATGGGTGATGTATGCAACATCATGGCTGTATGTTTATAGAGCAGACAGCACTAGATGGGTGATGTGGGCAACATCATGGCTGTATGTTTATAGAACATACAGCACTAGATGGGTGTCACAACCCTGTGAGTACAGTCAGTGGCGGAATGGACCACACCGTAGGGTGTGCGTGTTCAGGTGACACCCCAGGGTTGACACAAAGGTCAGGGCCGTGACTGGTCAAGTCTGTTCTGTTATTGCACGGTGAAACCAGTGCTCAGAAGAAACCGCTTGGCCACGGCAAGAAAGGGTGAACTCTGTTGCAGACAAGTTCGCAACACGATTACCCTTTGGGGACTGAGCAGGTAAACGGGTCAAGAGACACGAGGTGAAAGGAACACAGGACAGTCGGTGTACAACGGTCAGACGGAGCAGACGTGTTAGCGAGACAGTGATAGTATATTAGAGTTAGGATGTTTCTTTAGTGACTGCATAGATTATTTAGTGTTCTGTTAGAATAGGATTGTCTTTTGTGCTGTGTATTTAACTGGTACAAGGTATTGTGTTGTGCCACCATAAGTAAATAGTGTCCAGTTACTTCTGACCAGTTAAATCGTTTAGGTACATGTTCTGTGAGAGAATGTCTAACCTTGGCACTCTGACCCTGCACTAGACAGAGGCTGTGACAGTTTGGTTGGTCAGTGTGTCGATAGGTAAGAGCGTATCTCGTGCCAGTGTGGTTTGTGAATCAGGAGATTGCCTGTGGAACGTACTGGGGAGCGAGGCGATTGTAAAGCTCGTTCAGCCAGAGGGTCAAGGCAATAGGTGGCCACACAGCGGGAAGTCAACTGTCTATTGTATTACCTGTACTTGCAATAAAGATTGTCGTGTGTGCTCTGTGTGCATTCGGGCTCAGTGTGTGTTAAAGGTTAGCTTTTCTGTCATAGGCCCAGTTACGAGCCACGGACCAGCAAGGTCACCCATATGTCTGTGACAATGGGTGATGTATGCAACATCATGGCTGTATGTTTATAGAGCAGACAGCACTAGATGGGTGATGTGGGAAACATCATGGCTGTATGTTTATAGAGCAGACAGCACTAGATGGGTGATGTATGCAACATCATGGCTGTATGTTTATAGAGCAGAGGGCACTAGATGGTGATGTTTGCAACAACATGGCTGTATGTCAAAGAAAAACGGCACCTGCAATAGTAACAAACTGAAATGCAGTGTGTGAATTTGTAGATCAAAACCTTTTATTTATCTGCTCCATTCCAGGCTGTGAGAGTTTCTGCAGCAAGAGCAGCTGGAGACAAGAATGCAGAGTTGAGTCCCCTGGCCTTGTTTGCATTTTTTGTGAGTCAGAGCCGTGCCAACCTGCATATCATTATAGCGTTCAGCCCTATCGGTGATGCTTTCCGCAACCGTCTGAGACAGTTTCCTTCGCTGATTAATTGCTGTACCATAGACTGGTTTCAGGTGTGCACATTTGGCTGTCTGTGTGACTGTGTGTTGTCCCTTGGCTACCCTAGAGTGCAGTAGTCAGACATTAACATCATGTAGACGCTATAAATGCATTGTGCATGTTGTCTTTCTTTTACAGTAAGTTAAAAAAAAAAAAAAACATAGTTTTAAGGGTTCAAAGTTGAGAGATCAAATTCATTGCTCAGGGTTTTTGGGACTGGAGTGTACAGTACATTTGAAAAAAACATACATCTTTAATAGTGCGAAAACAATGGCTTGACTGCTTCACCGTGAAAACCCTCTATAGACAACAACATAAAAGACACTAGAACCAAGGAAGATAAATACCCTGTTCATTGTCGCTGCTCTTCTACCTGAAGTGTAGACAACAACCAAAAGGACGCTTTCATTATATAAAAAGATTCTTTTCTACACCTTCCCGTGTATTGGGTATATAGGGCTAGACCTATTTTATAGACCAATCAGTACTTGATGGAAGATATGGCCAGCATCATACAGACTGCCTTTACTTCCCATGACTTTACCTTGTACCCATTTAAGGCTGGATCCACCTGGGAGTCATGGTCACTTTAAAAAAAAAAGTTCAGCATTGTCCAGAATTGAACCTACGGCCTTCAGATCCGCAGGTAAGTATCTAGCCGCTGGTAATCTGGTAATTTTAATTTCAGCTTCATAGCAAACGGGTCACCCCATCTTTGCTCTGCTCCTGTGCCAACGGAAAACAGAATGTTTATCACAGTCCCTTGTGGAAAGACTACCAAACTGCTGCCTCAGCAAATCTAGCATACACTTGCATTAAAGCATATGGTAGCCATCCGAAGTTCTAACACAAACAGTCCGACGTTAGAAATGCAGTTCATCATTGATGGTAGCAGAAGTCATTAAAAGATCAGCAGTTGCATACGCTATCAATTTTAATCCAATAATGGCCCCACCAATATTGCGAAAACAGGCATCGCGCCATTTTCTGAATCTACAAATCACACCACCACGTTGGTCAGTCGAAAAACATTCTAAATGAAATCTGCAGCTCACAGTGTAACGCCATGCACTCAACTCAGAAGCTGGGCAACGAAACTATATACTTCCAGTCTACAAATGGAGCAAAAAAGCAACGGCCACAGTCTGGCAGAAGCAAAAATTTATGCCTCGGCTCAAAACAGTGGCAGTGCCAAGTGTTCATTTGGACCTGAAGCATTATGTGAGGGTTAATAAACTGTCACCCCAGCAATACCCTACTATTAGCTGGGGAAGGGATTTAGGATATTAAATCCACCAGCAAGCGTCCCCCCAACAACGACCTGACTCCCTTCGTTAACGACTGTTCACCCAACAGCCATGCAGTTCTTTGGCACGAAGGAGACACCTTGAACTTGGGTTTCAGACTGCCGACTCCCTACACGAAGGTATATATGTGCTACTGGTGTCCCGTAGCCAAAATACTATCTCACTGTATTACTAAAATTCAGTATGCATTCTCAAACGCTCAGTAGTTAAAGAAAACACACACACATACATACACTCATTACCTGCCACCCGCTTGGTTGCTGGTGCAGAGAGAGAGAGTGGGACAAGGGAAGAATCATGCCGAATGACCACAAATATGTAAGACACTGACACAGGGAATTCCCTATGCACACAAGGTCGGCATGACTGGCTCCAAGAAGTGGACAGTAAGTTCAAACGGCTTGGTCAGATGAGACAGTCCCTG